TGAGGAAGCACCCGAGGGGACAGGTACATTTATCTGGTTCAGGAGATGGTGGAAGAAAACGGCAAAGATAGACAGGAAGAAACTTGCCGCCCTGGGAGCCAGTGCGTTATGCTCCTACGGCTTGGTCAGCAACATCAATTATTGCGGAACGCTCTGTGCCTCCTACATCATTTTCACCAAGAAGTACAACATCTCGCCCTTCGCGGCAGGGCAATGGAAGAATTTTTTGGCTGTCTATGGTACTTTATGGGCCGCCATGAACTTCTTAAGGCCCCTGCGCGTCTGGATCGCCCTGGGCGTGACTCCGTACTTTGAAAAGATTGTCGAAACGATTCGCACGAAATTAAATGTGAAAAAATCTGTGGCATTGGGCATCACAATCTTTCTCGTGAATGTCTGCGGCACCTTCTCCTTCCTGGGCGCGGGTCTGTATCTATCTTCTTTGTACACAGGTGTGCCACTCATTCCCCCACGGACCTGAGGAGTCTGAGAGGTAGAGACGGCGGCTAGCGAGCTCTTCAGATGCTCAGAACGGATGTAAAGGCGGGTACCGGACGCAGCCGAAATATGGAAGGAAAATAGGGGGGGGGGAAGGGAGGGCAGTATCTGCTGGTGTCAGGCTCGGAAGCTCAGCTGGAGCATGGACGGAGACGCCTGCGCTGGCCCTCTGGCAGGGGCCCGGCTCTGCGTATGCAGGTGGCAGGTAGCACTAGAAGGCAAAAGGCCAAGATTAAGAACAAATGTCGAGGCACAGAGAAGAGGGGTATAGGACGGGCGCGGACGCATCCCCCATTGATTCTTTCCTTAAAGTTATACGTACCTCTTCCCGCCTATGCCCCTCCCTACTATCACTATCTCCTCCGTGCCACCCCCACCGTGCGCAGCAGATCCTCCACGTCGGTGTAAGTCAGAATGCCCCGGTCGCGGTACACCCGCACCAGTTTCCTCCCTTCGAAAACCAGCGACCCTCCCTGCTGCGTGATCAACTGCTTGTTGGGCGGTACCAGCGCCTCCCAGTTCGGCAAAATCGCCATCATGTTCTGCAAACGCACCGTCGCCACCTCGAAAGGCCTCGCGCCCTCCCTTCCCAAGACGTCGAAGGCGCTCTTGTCCACCAGCCCTTGCCCTTCCTTCTTCAGATAGTCCCCAGTCCAAGACGCGTCCGCCTTTTTGTCGCCCACATACCCCGCCAATACGGCTTGCAACGTGCCGGGCGAACCGATCCCCGCGAGCATGGGCAACAACTTCAAGTACGGATTCACTGGCAGATCCGCAGCAAAGCCACGCGAAAACCCGAATTTACCGTAGCTCGCGGCGCTTTCGTCCGCATACAGCCTGTCCAAAGGAAAGCCGCCCACCAGGGAAGCAAACTTCTGCGCGGCAGCCACCGTGCCAATGCCCACCGCGACGACGTTCACGTTCGCCCGCTCTAACTCGGGGAGGTAGTGGAGAAGCTTTTGTGCGTACTCAAAACTGTCCGGTGAGAAAAGAATAGAGAGATTCTCAACGCCTGGCACGATGAATGCAGTCTACTTGATGTGTAGTCTGCCTACGGACCTGTTGAAATCCCCCCAGTGGGTTAAAAACGCGACGATTGTCATCTTCCCGCCCGTCGGAAAAACGTCTCCCAACGCCACCGATCGTCCTGTCTTGGCGCTTAGCACCTTGCTTTCTTTTAATAAGGCATACTCTGGGGATGACTGCATGATTGAGAAGGAAGAAGACTGCATACTGAGGCGCCCGTGGCCTCCCCGTTTGCTGCTACTGGCACCGAACTTGCTGTCCCTGACCTGGCCGTGGGAGGGCAAGTTCCTGATGACAAAGGCTTGACATGCCGTTACAGCAGCCAATGTAATGCTCAACAGGAATAGACGACTGACCATGCCTGTGTTGTTGCATTTGCAAAACTCTCAGTCAGAAACGAAATGGTGGGATGAAAGTAACAAAAATGATGCCGGCGAGCCCTGTAACCAAAAACTTTCCCTCCCATCCGAGAGTCTGATGCGTAGAGCACGCAGCCTGCTTGCTGCTTGCGAAATGTCTGAAATAACTCGATGGACTGTCATCCTCGCACGAGTACTCCACGTTCCTCGAGAGTGTCTGAGTAGGCCCGACGGGCGGGAACACTTTGTCGAGGCAGCGAAGTTGTGTCTTTGTTCTATAAGTGAGGTGGCAACATCCGTGACATCCTGAGGTGTGACGTATGCCCCTGGGGAAGCCTCATCCACGGCACTTGCACTTTCCTCCCACCATTACCAATCACATGACTATCATGCACGTTTTTCCAATTGTAGAGAGGGCTTCTCATATTCGGTATTGGCTTGCGTCGGCCACGTGTGTCTTCAGGTACGTTGGTGTCTAAATCAGCATATGCTCGTCGGTCTGCCATCTGCAATCCGAGCCTTCGCAAATATATGGTTATAAAGTTTATGGAAGGTGGAATATTATCGTCTGGTTTTAGTAGGATTGATCGTCATATTGAATGTTTTATTCTAGACATGGGTTTGACCAACCTTTGTCATGCGTCCTATTTTTCCGCCCACCCCCCTTCCACCATCCACACGATGGTAAAGCTTGCAATCACTATCCGCAATGTTTGATTGAGCCGAAAACTCTGAGTTGTAAATCATGCGTGAATGATAAATCTGTTTGTGAATTTCGCGGTGCCTCGTCTCGATCAGGTGTCCATAAGGATAAATTTGACTGCTTGCTTCATCTGCTCGCCTTCCTACGAGTGCCTCCTGACGCTCTCGAACATCGGAGTATTTCCCTTTGGTTTTATCCCAAAATTTCAAATTCTTCGTTCATACTAAATATTTGTGTCTTTTTTCCGCTCGGAAACGTTGAGCGTCCGGTGCTTTTCACGAAGTTGAACTCTAGCTCAACCTCAACCTGATTCTTGTGTCTTCGTCTCTTCGTTCATTGTGCCCTCATATTCCCCCAACATCCAGCCACAGTACCAGAAAGAATTGAATTAAAAGGTATATTGTCTCCTTGAACCGGCGTTGTTATGGTCAACCCTGCAGACCTGAGCGTTCCTGCCGGCGGGGACCCCCCGGTCTTTGACGTGGCGGCCGCCTTCCAGGGCCTCTGCGACCGCTCCAATGAGATGTCCGAGGAGAAATTCATGGCCACGGTCGAAGCGTTGGAGCCCTGGTTAGTCCCCGATATCATCGACTTTCTGGTCGCCAAGATCGCGGGCTTCGGGAAGGAGCGCGAGCCGGCCATCTCCCTCTTGACCAAGCTGGATGCGGCCTTCGTCCGCCGCAAGCTCCCCGACATCCTCCAGCCCGTCATGAACATGTGCACAGACACCTCCAAGAAAGTGCGCGAGCTCTCCCTCAAGTGCCTCGAGCACCTGGTGCAGACGAACGGGAATTCGGACTTGGACAGGGTCATCCCGGGTCTGGTGCAGGCTCTC